TGGCTGCTTTGAAAGCCCCCAAGCAACCTGCAGACTAGAAATTTATCCGCCCTAATTTTGGCAGGCTGTTGATGACAAATCAGCCTACAGACCTTGGATCTGCTGGCTTGAGAAAATGAGCTGCTATTGCTAAGGTTCGTTTTTGTTGTTTTGGGCTCGGACTCAGTTCAAAAAAGAAGACAGGATACCTTCAACTAAATGAGCCTGTGGCCATTGCCAACCAAAACGTTTGTATTTTCTGAGTTTTCTATATTGCAGGACGCGCAGCGCAGCAAGAGTTGACAGCTCCAGCGACATCGAGTAGGCGCTGCCTTCAGATTGTTTATTTTTAGACTCATATGCGCAGCGAAAGGGGTCGCAGTCTATTTATCTATTTGATCTGATGAAGCTGCAGCCAGCTGTATTTGTTCACTATGCATGTCAGTTAAAGGAACCAACCCATGGCCCATGGTAAACATTCTTGCGCAGCTATGATGGGTTTCAATGCACACGCAGCGAAGTCAAACCCTTCAGTTTCTTAAGCAGCTAAAACCAGTCACTTCAGCTTCTGAAGTCTTTCATCATGGCGATGATTCCATCAGCGCTCCTGGCTGTGATGCTGGCCACATTATCCGTGCAAGAGATGCGTGATGTCCATGGCCTGACCAAATTAGAGTTTCCCTGGGTGGCCGTGGAACTTGTAATCCACGCTATGATCGTTAGGCGCCTGATGCAGTTCGACGTTCCTCAGGACATTCATTGCTTGGAGTTCTTTGCAGGTTCCCATCTATCATCACAGGTGGCAAAAGCGTTTGGTGAACTTGGGCTCCCAGCCCTGGCATTTGATATTCTTCGAGGCTTGTCTCTAATTGGCCAGGCTGAGAGGACACCAAAGGGTCCACACTATGTGGACCCTTTTGTGTCCTCTCAACCTGTGTTGCCATGGTATATTGTCAGCAAAAGGCTAGGTTGAAATTTTGCAATTGCGCACTTCACATTGGATGTCAAGCGGCTTTGAACATTGAAGATTGTTTTGTGGAATTAAGGAAGTGGGACACATGATTTGACTTCAGCAATGGGCCTAATTTCTGCAGTCATCAGCCTCCTACAAATCCGTTGCGGGGGCCTCGTCCACCTGGGCACTGTTTGCACCAGCTTCATATTCTTGAATTGTGCCACACACACTCGCTCTATAGCTTTCCCCCTGGGTTGGAGGGGTCATTTAGATTACGTGGAGCTTGGAAACGTGCTCGCCAGTAGATCTTCGATCCTTGCACTATTGGCATGGGGGCTGGGGGCCTTCCCAATACTAGAGCAGCCACTCCGGTCTATGATGATAGCGCTTCCTTCGTGGCAGCGTGTTGTGGCATACTTCGATGAGGCTGAGAAAAAGGGATGGGTTGGGCAACGGTTGAAACTGAGCAAGGTGAACATGGCTTGCTTTAGGGCGCCTTCTCCGAAACCAACCGCTTTGTACTCAACCGAAGCCTTTGACCTGCTGATGAACATGCGCATTCCCCGGAAAGAAGATCGGCCCGCCGCCAAAGACCCTATTTCTATTCAGCACCATAGTTTCATTGGTTCCGTTTGTTCAGTGCTGAGCAAGTATGTGGCGGTGCTAGGCAAGTTTTTGAGACCATGGGTCAACCCTTCAACCGAGCTAGTCTAAGGTATACCGATGCCGCTGGAGTGAAACGTGTAGCTGGAGGCCCTGGCTTGAAGGGAACTCAGATGTATACACCTGAGTTTGGGAGGGCGCTGGCGGCTTGGTGGATGGCGCACGGGCCTGTTTCCGCTGGGACCGAGTTGAAAAGCAAACAGTTTTTGTCTAAGAAACATCTCCTTGAGGAATCTCAACAAATAGCGCAAGGTTGCACAGAGTTTCAAAAAAAGAATAACCATATTTCCGACGTATGAACTTTCACATGTCTGAGCATTCGAAGGAGAGCGCGACGTCGATGGTGCCTTCAACAAAGCGCCGACCTATCTATGGATGCCATGAAGGCCTCTCATGGTTCTACTGTGTGCGTGAAAAAATGTCATAGCTTTTTTAAGTAGGTGACCAAAACAGAACCAAAGAATAGGCGCAGTGACCAAACCGCTGTGGCAGGATGCAGTTCTTTCCTACTCTCAGCTGGAGCATTTCAACTTTGCAGAAGGCCACTTGCTAGACGCATTGGATGAGCTGAGGCATCCATGGTTTCAGCGCGCGCTGCATTTGAGTGGTGCATAGATAGCCGCTTTGGTGAACCTTAATGACATAGTTGTGTGCACGGGAAGGGGGAAAAGTGCATTCATTCGCTTGCCTGCGCATGTAATGTCCAACATGAACCATGTAACATTCAAAAACTATTGTAGTTATTCATGAACATGCAATACAATAATGAAATATAAGTATTCATTCATACATGGGGCTACGGCCTCCTCATGATACTACAACTAATAGAGTTCTTCAGTCATGATTATACGAAATTAAAACATGGCTATTCAACATTCATACATGGGGCCACGGCCCCCTCATGCTTTAGAAGAACACTCATGGGCAAATAGAATAATATCATGTCAAGATGAAATCCTATTTACTCCAATGGTCCTTGTTCAATGTTTTTGCACGCGCGTTAATGCTTTGGTGGAGAGTTTAGGCCGTGACCAGCCGTGACCACCAAGAAACGTCCGCCTTTAAAAATGTAATGACCGCCCGGGACCGCCCGTGACCAGGCGTGACCGCCGAGAAACGCCCCCCGCCCCCCCACCCAACTTCCGGGCCCACCCCCCGACACCATGGCCGCCAATTTGCAAATTTGTCAATCCTTTGTTTAGATCGACGCATTTTGCGCTCAAGCTTGTTTTTCTGTTCGGGTCACAGGATCCAATGGCTCACGTTAAAGACGAAGAGCCATCCGTTTTTGCCATGTCAAATGACCCGTACATGGTCGGGCTGGTCCGAGAGTCACGCACAGCTTTGGGTGCTGGGCAGCCAGGCAGGTAGAACCCACACTGACAGCGCCTGCAGAATTTAAGCCTTTAGTAATTTTGCAGTTTTGTGACTTGGAATTGACAGTTGTGAGTTGTGAACTCTTGATGACCCAAAGGCGATGTATTGCAAAGTGCCACGCTGGCACCAGAAGTGGTGATGAATGTGGCTGGGTCTGGCACTCAAACACATGTCAATATGCCTCATTTGGCGAAACACAACCCATCGCATTTTGGACGCCCAAATGATTTTTGCCCGTGCTTAGGCAACCCGTGAACCTGTCTACTGCATTGTCTCCAATGCCTATGGGTGATACATTTCAAAGCCTGGCTACTGCAGGTGATACGCAGGCTGTGCTTGTGTGAGACTATGTTTGGAGAGAATGTTTGCTAGCGTGAGACATATAACATCATATAACATATACAAAAACATGTTTACATGAAACGTACAAAAAGCTTTATATACTGGTGGGGCTTTGCAGGTGGATGAGATGACAATGACGCACGACTTTGAGAATGCCTTCAACATGGCAGGGATTCCTGACAATGCCTTGAACATGGCAGAGATTCCTGGGAATGCCTTGAACATGGCAGAGATTCCTGCAGGGAAAGGGTTGAACACGGCAGGGGTTCCAGGGGTTCCTGAGGATCCTTTGAGCACGGCAGGAAATCGGGAGAATGAGTTGAGCGCGGGAGGGATTGATGAGCGTGGTGATGACGACAAAAAAGGAAACGAAGCACATGAGAAGAAGGAAGGCAACAGACCTCCAGCAACACCACAGCATACAAACATGAGTCAAGCTGATTTGGATGAGTTGGCAGCTATGGGGTGGTCTTTGCCCGCAACATGCAGGCCGACAGCGCCCGCAGAATCACCTGCGCGTGCAAATGTGCATGGCCATCCTCAGGCATTGAGTCCTCCGACTTCAACTTCGCCTGCTCTAGGTGTGACGATGGTCCATGGGGAGCTACCGACCCCTCACCAAATGGAGCGCGCTGACCCGTCGCCCGCTCTAGCCGCAGCCCACCCAGCCCAGCACCGACCACCTCCTCCCCGGTCAGCCCAGTGGCAATATTTTGCAAACCTGGCTCGACAGCAGGCAGCAGCTGCAGCAGGAGGCTCAACAGCGGCCCCGTCAAGCGCTTCCCAGCCAGCAGCTCCAGCCCTTGTAACCCAGTCAACCGACGCTTCAAAAGCCATGCAGCCGCCGCCCCATGGCGTTCAGCCTACTCCTGATCCCCAGAAGCCAATCGCACCGGCGCACCCAAAGCAGGCTGTGAATTCGACACCGGGAGCAATTCCAGCCAATGCCAACCAGTCCGCACCACCTGGAGGTTCGGAGTACAGCCGGCGGGCGGCTGCCAATTTGATCAACAGGCTGGTGAAGAACCCTGGGAGACTTGAAAGCCTACCTTCTTTGAAGGGCATGGTTTTTGATGAACGCAAGAAGTCAGAACTCATCACAGCCCTTGTGGATTCTAGCGGCGACCTTCACAAGGCGAACGCCTTTTTCCAAATGCAGGAGGAGAAGGGGAAAGCAGTGATTGCTCGCAAGAAGGCCTTGCGCCTAACGAAGAAACAAATGCAGGATACCTATGGTGATGAGGCTGAGAAAGTCATGAAGCACAAAGAAAACACCGGTATGACGGAGGCAGATGAGAACTGTCCCGACAGTGTAGTCTACCTAGTTGCCCAGAAGGAAGATGAGCACGAGGACTTTCACCGGTCAAGCACCTAGGTTTTAACAAAATCAGTTTATATATACCTTTTAGTAAAACTAAGATAAGCCTGTGTATGTATGCCATGGCAAATGAACAAACACTGTTTATAACAGCACCTGGCCTAAGGCAGTTTGCTTTGTACCTCCAAGACCTACCTGGGCGCGAACAACGCTGCTGACATTGCCGAATTGATGTTTCTGAGTTGCAAACCATGCGTGTTTCAATGACAGTGACCCTGCGCGTGTGTATGTGTGTCAACCAAACTTCCGAGAATTCTACGTGAAAATGTTGTTTGTTTGTGTAATTTCCTTGTGAGGTCAATGCCCATGCCAAAGGCCAAATGCGCGAAGACTACGGTGGCTTCAACTCCGGGTTCACGATCTTCAGCAAACAGCACCCCACCGTCAACGCCCGGCACATCTGCTCCTGCCACCCCAGCCGAATCCGTGGCCCTTGTGGGTGAGGGTGAGGTAGACGAATCAAATAAGAAGAGGAAGAGACCGAAGAAAGCTGAAGAGCAAACACCTTTGACACCCTTGCAGAAAGCCAATGATATGTGCAACAAATTGTTGAAGAAAAAATCCGACTCCTCGAACCTAGGGCTGACACTGCAAGCAATCCCGTATGCATCAGCACTGAGCGGTGAGATGACCCGATTCTCTTCGCAATTTGAGCGGCTTGTCTAAACCTTGTCTAAACCTCTTGAATTTTAGAACCATGTGATTGACCTGTTTTGGTTTCAACGCCTGTGCATGCTTATATCAATAGAAACTGTAACTATATATAGTCTGAGCTGTACAGCTGTACGTGTCAATGTCTGAGGGAATTGTACTTGAAGATCCGGACCCTGATCGACCAGCAGAAGAACGAGGACATTTTTTGAGAACTGTTCAATTTTGATTGAGTTATTCACCTAACACGTCAACTCAGTTCTTTTGCAAACGCCTGGCAGGAAACTGATTACATCCCCCTTGCGAAAGACTTCATTAGTTTGCAAAAGCAGTTTGAGAAGCCGCAAGCTGCGGCCACTGCGCTGTCACGGCAGGTGAATAAAAAACCTTCAAGCAAGGCGAAGGCAAAAGCCAAAGCCAAGGCCTAGGATCGTGATGGCATTCCGCAAAGACCTTCAGCCTAGGCCAGTATAGCTTTACAAAACTGTTTGATGATCAGGTTCAGGTATGCTGGAATAGTTGTCTTGTTTGTTCTTGCTTCAACGATCGGGAAGGCATTTTGAGCTTGAGGGTGCCCTAGCAGTGCGCAGGGTTGGCTCAGAACCTGAATGAATTTGGGATGAGCCTTTGGGGCGCGCGCTGCACGCATAAACTGCTAGCAGCTACAGTGTAAAAAGGAGCTACTGGCCGGAGCTCACAAGTTTCTTTAGGAAGCAACAGCCTTTGTTCACCAAAAGCACACTTAGCGCCAGAATTTCAATCTCAACTGTCCCGCAGGTCTGCCATTGATGACAGCCAGAAGGAGCCTGTTGGCAAATACAGGAAAAAGATGAACCTCGTCTATGCGGCAAATTTGCCAACTGTTTGGAGAGCCGTTACATTTTTTAGGTTGGGGGGTCGATCTGCTTGATACTGTTATAGGCCTATTACCTGCTGTCTCTTGTCCTGCACTCGCAGCTTGTATAGTCTGCCCTTTGCCTTCTTTGCAGCCGCCCGTATTTCCGTTGCCTGGAAGCACGGATTGCAACGCTGCTTTCCATTTTGCCTCGTGCTTTGCCGTGTCCACGCGCTGAAGTGCTTGCGTGCTTTAAATTTTGCTCACTGCACACTCCGCAGCGCCAGTGACCTGTCACTTTCACTGCGCAGTCCTTGCAACAACGTCGGTCTGCATTTCGCGCCTTCCACGCAGAAGCTCCAAACGCGCTCGCCGGCTTTGCCACGCCGCAGTTGCAGCACGGCTTCTGCACTTCGCACGTGTGGCAGACGCGGTAGAAAGTGCACTGTGGGCGCGCGTATTGCTTTGCAAAGGCGGCCTCGTCCTGCCATGCTTTGCATACGCTCCATTGCCACGGCGTGTTGTTTGCCACATGGTTACGCACGCATTCTCTGCACACCCGCGCGGCTGCTTCCCGTTTCCACTGCCCTGCAGTGTACGGACCCGCTTTTGGGCTTGCGTTCGCGGCACTGGCCGCGCACGCCCCTAGGAGTGTTGATGAACTGGATTCTGCCGGCGTTTGTGGAGTGGCGCAACAAATCGCTGAAGGCAAACTATCTGTCCAAGGAGGCGCAGCGTGTGTTGCAAACTTTCAGAGAGATGGTGTCAAACAGGCAGGGAAGCGCAAAATGTTTTGACGGCGTTCTGAATGAAATGGTGCAAACGTCACCTAAACCTTATGAAAAAGGCACTTGTTTTAGGATCCCTAAAGATTTCATACATATATATATATACATTCCCTGAGTGTGAGGTGGCTGTCCAACAGCTTTCTTTTTCACGTGAGCGTGACTTCTTTCGGTGGCTAAAACTTCCACTTGAGACCTACACGGGTGAAGTGCCGGTTCATGTTGACGCAAGCAAGACCTCCAATGTGGATGGCCGTGGAACTGCTGCGATTTCAATGGTACTTCCAAGCGATCACTTGCGAGCTCTACACGAAGCAGGGCCAAACGTGTTGTTAGAATGTCTTGGGTCATGGAAAGACTTCGGGGCGGTTTGGCATGCCGCTGGCTGTGGTGAGATTTCTTCAACTCACGTCCCCCTGATCATTCATGAAGACGCCGTGCCTCACTTTTCTGGTAGCACGGCGACAGTTTGGAGCTGGAGCACGGGCTGTGTTAGGGGCGACTCGTGGAAGACCAGGCAGGCTATCGCGATTATGGGAACGAGCGAAGTCACCGACGACACAAGGGCATGTATCTGCAGAGTCCTTGCCTGGGATCTGAGACAACTTGAGGCAGGGGCGTATGACTTTGTTAATCACGATGGCAAGTTTCACCCCGTCAATTCTTTACGTGAGAAGCGGGCTGGTGAGCACATGCCTTTGAGGGCAGTGGCTGTTCTAAAAGTCAGTACGCTGTTGTGTACTTTTTCACCCAACTGAATTGTTTTAAATCAGCGCGGTTCTGTTTCCATGGATTACCGCGTAATTTTACCTAAAGTTATATACATGATGTTACATGGATACAACATGATACGACCTTTAATGGTTTTAATGGTATCATGGGGCATCAGCCCCACATATACATATACATATATATATACACATCACCATGCATGCGAGCGCCATCGACCATGACTAGATATGACTAGGAAAACCTGTGTTCTATTGACATTTGGCGCCCCTGGCGTTTGTTGTCTTGCATCTGAGGCGTTCTGTTTTTGGAAGGGGGACATGGAAGCTCACGCAAAATCTCATCGTCTCACGCGGTATTATTTGTGCAACTCCTGCTGTGACTTCTGCATGGCCACCAGTGATCGCAGGTCGCCCGAACTTTCATGGGGCGCACTCACCCTCAGGGCACTATGGCGCAACACTTTGACTTTAAGTCGCGACCCTCAAGACAGATCTCCGTGGGCTCAAATTGCTCGATTTGAAAAGTCCAAGCGGCTACTAGACCTTTTGCACATTGTGCATTTAGGCACGCTAAGGGATCTTGTGCCGGCAGTCATCATCGACGCCTTAAGCGACGGTGGGCTTGCGACCTTTTACGGACTGGAGGGGCGACCATGGGACGAGATCCTTCACAAATTCAGCCACCATGCGGGCCAAAGACCAAAAAAATGGTTCTATACATTGGCACGCTCACAATGGCCAGGCTTGGTCGCCCCAAGCACTCGCACTGGCCGATGCCGGCGTTGGATACTCGGATTAAAGCTGCCAAAGTGAGGACCCTCTTTGCCTTCACTACTTTCATCATGTCACAGCTGGTTGAGCTTTACGCAGATCCAGGGAGGAAATTCCACACGATGGTTCGCTCGACTTGCTGTTGGTGTCTGGACGCAGCTTTAAGCGCCTGGAGCCTGAGTCCCAACGTCATCATGCCCAGGTCAACTGTGCAGCACACGGTGTGGCTCTGCAGGATGCACTCGGCTACTTACGAGTGGCTCGCCTTGCAGAGCTTGTCTTCGCAGAAATTGTTGTTTAAGGTGAGGCCAAAGACGCACTACTTCGCCCACATGGTCGATCATTTTTCAGAGACGCAGCTCTGCTTGCAACACCTGTCATGCTTCAGCGACGAAGATTTCATGGGTAAGATCAGACGTCTTTGTCAGGCGTCCCACGGGAAGACATATATGGTCAGTTGGGCGAAACGGTACGCTCTAAAGAGAGCGTTGCAGTGGAGGGTGATGAGGGAAAATGCTGAAGGTGTGTCCGGAGCAATGAGATTCACGCATCGTTTGCACTCATATATGGCTTTCAACTATCGACGTTTCAGCTTCGGAGCCGTGTGTTGCATGGGAGAGAGAGAGAGAGATATATATATATATAGAGGAACGTGACAGGATAATATGTTTGTCTAATTTTTTCAGCAGCGTGGCCATTTTTGCACCCAGTGATGTGACAGACTGTGTTTTTTTGATCATGTTTTGTTTTCAATACACGGGATGGATTTTGAGGGTGCGCCAAACAAGGTTTTAAAAACATATGCGATATATTTTTGATGTGTTGTGCCTTACCCTTTAAACACGGCGGTATGTACGGCGCGCGTACATGATGTAAATGTAAAATATATTTTAAACGTGTTCACGGCATATCCGTCGTGTGCTTTACCATGCGCATCACAAATAACCGCGCTGTTACTGCTCAATTCGCCATGCATCGCGCGCGATTATAGCCATAAAGGTATCTCATCAAAACACAAATCACCATGGTCGCCGTGTTACCCATGGCGACCGTGGCGATTTGTGATTTGATTGCATCATGTGCAGCCTGCAGCGCGTGTGGTGCGTGCAAGAAACGCCCGGGGTCTTTTGTTGGACACGAGCCCGAAACGCCCGTGGGTGTTTCTTTCCACCAACATACGCCCAGGGGTGTTAATTTTGATTCTGGGTGTAAAAGATACGCCCAAACCCTAGATTGGTACCTCCAGGAATCAACCCGAATATGACCGACTCTGTTCCTCGTATCTTCGACAGTTTCGAGCCGAATACCAACACATTGCCTGTCGAGGACCAATCACGGCCGGGCAAAAGCCTTCGAGTCCAAGCGCCAGAGTCAGAATATGAGGTTGCATCGGAAGTGCATCCCCAGAGTGTCCCTGCAGGTCCTCATGCAAGCACGACAAACCCTCAGTCGGAAGTCCAAGAACTAGATCCACCAAAATGGGAAACAATAAGACATGAAGTAGATCTAGTGTCTGACAAGCATCCGGGGTCGACAAGCATGGACCCCGGATGCTTGCTCTTCGACCAGAAGAGCGTAGTTGGATCCTGAAGGTGCACAAGAACATGGGACATCCGAGCGCCGCCAAGCTCAAAGCATTTTGCCAGCAGTTAGGATGTCAACCCGAGATAGTGGAAGCACTCGAGGATCTTCGATCTTCCACGTGCGCCGAAACAAAAGGTCCAGAGTTAGTCAAACCGAGTGCAATCCATCCTACCCTGGATTTCGGAGATGTAGTTGGCATGGACGGAATTAAATGGACCAACAGTACCGGACAACAATTCTCTTGTTATCACTTTGTTGACCAAGGGACCACCTTTCATACAGCCGTTAGCGCACCAAGTCACTCGTCAATGGACGCCATCCGTGCATTGACCCAAGGTTGGATCAGCTGGGCCGGACCTTCGGGAACCCTAGTGGTAGATTCTGGAACGGAGTTTGGTACCGAGGGTTTCCATGCATTCCTCCAAGAACATGACATTCGTCTTTGAATGATTGCCCCTCCCGCACATTGGCAGAACGCTCGTGTGGAAAGACATGGGGGGATACTTCAATCAATTCTGGGTAGAACGGATCACGAAAAGCCTATCAGCACTGAAGAGGAGTTCAATAATGCCATCTCGTTTGCCACGCAAACTAAAAATAAATGGTCTCGATATAAAGGTTATCCACCAGAACTCCTAGTGTTTGGGAAGTTGAACAAGTGCCCCGGATCAGTAATCAATGAAGGCAACAGTGCTTCGCATGATTTGGCCCTGCATGAATCCCCGGAGGGAGTTCAGTTTCGTGAAAGACTGGCTCTTCGTGAAAGAGCTCGCAAGGTATGTGCCAATTCATCCTTCGGAAATTCCAGCACCTCATGCATATAGGAGAAATAGTGATGAACCCGAAGAGAGCCTTGAACAACCCGATACCGAACCAGATGCACCAGAGAAAATAAATCAATCCCAACCCAGGTCCGACGTTGACTATTCTCCAACATCACCTAGGGGATCAGAAGTTCCGGAAACTCCACCAGAGCCCTTCGTCGAAGCACCAGAAAACATTCCAGCGCCAGTTGAAGAAGAGGATGATCTAGTGTGTGATGCCTATGCCCTGGATGAAAATCTAGTGTGGCGTTTTGAAGTAAACAAGGGACATTGATATGATGCGCAATGATCCAGATCCCACAGCTTTTGCCTTCTTGGTGTCAGCGGCAAAGCGCCAAAGATCTGAATTGAAGCTGACTACCCTCACTTCAGCCGAACGTCAAATGTTCGATGCTGCCAAAGAAAAATCCAGAGCTGGCAGACGGTCTGTCGTATCGTAAGGCACAAAATACCTATGCAAAACATCCTCAAGGGTCGTTGGATTTTGACATGAAAGGACGCCGAGAACAACACTCATCTCAGTGCAAACAGCAAGCGAGTGAGTGGCCGAAAAGCCAAAGCTCGCTTGGTACTTCTAGGATACCAAGATCCAGAACTGAGCAGCTTAGAAAGAGACAGTCCAACGCTATCTAAGCTTTCTCGGAACCTTCTCTTGCAAGCCTGCGTGTCCAACCGCTGGGAGATAGGCAGTTTTGACATCAAGACCGCTTTCCGGCTTTCCTGCAGGGTCGAGCCGACTCTC